CCAGTACTATGGTCCTGAGCTAGTAGATCTACTGGATCTCTCTCCCATAGTGTCTAGATGTCTGTGAGGGATTACTCTGTGTCTGTCTTCTATTGTTTCTGTAAGGACTGCAGGTATTTTGTATCACTGGTGTCTGTGCAAGATTAACCTCAGCTGAATCTATCCTTGGTCTACAGTTCACTGATGCCTGTCTGATCATCTCAGGTGTTTATGTGTTTATCTGTATAGCCTAGTGTTTGGTGTTAATGGCAATGTGGCATTGTGGACACATTGGTTGGTATAGCATCTGTCATCTATCTCTTATGTGTACAATTTGGTGTCCTCTCATTTCCCAATGTTATTATGGTGGTCATATATCCTTCCCATATATCCCTCCCCCTACCCATGTCAGTGGGTAAGCCCCAACTAGCCCAAAATTAATCCCTCCCCTTCCCTCCTCATCCCGGTAACCTACTAGGTGAGTTCCCTTTCCCAAGCAAACCCTTCTCTGTCTTTTTACAGTAATGGGCTCACACAGTACTTGTCCTTCTGCGGCGATTAATTTATTTCACTCAGCATAATGTCCTCCAGGTTCATCCACATTGCGAGATGATTTGGGTATCCCTCATTGTTCTTTAATGTGGCATAGTATTCCATTGTGTGGATATACCATAATTTGGTTATCCACTCATCTGTTGATGGACATTTAGGTCGTTTCCATCTCTTTGCTATGGTGAATTTTGCTGCAGTGAACATAGGTGTACATATGTTTGTTCGTGTGCTATCTCTCACCTCTTTAGGATATATTCCTAGTAATGGAATTGCTGGGTCAAATGATACTTCTATTTTCAGTTTTTTAAGGAAACACCATACCATTTGCCACAATAGTTGTAGCATTGTGCAATGCCACCAGCAGTGCACAAGGGTTTCAATCTCTCCACAACCTCGCCAGCATTTGTTACTATCTGATCTGTTGAACTTTGCTATTATTGCTGGGGTGAGATATCTCATTGTTGTTTTGATTTGCATCTCTCTAATGATTAATGATCATGAGCAATTTATCATGTGTCTGTTGGCTGCTTGTATATCTTCTTTGGTGAAGTGTCTGTTCAAATCTTTTGTCCATTTGTGAATTGGGTTATTTGTCTTTTGGGTGTTGAAGTGTTGAAGTTTTCTGTAGATTTTGGAGATAAGTCCTTTGTCAAATATGTCAAAGGCAAATATTTTCTCCCAATCTGTAGGTTCTCTTTTTACCCTTTTGACGAAATCTTTTGATGCA